TTGTTGTACTTCGTTCAGTTACGTATTGCTCAATAGAATATATTTTGAGTTCTATGTATTCCTCTGAATTATCAAACATGTAATGCGTGTTTGTCTAGATTAAATTAAAGACTATGATATTGATGATAGCTATTTGTATTTTGTTTTTAATTATAGAAAACAATAAAAGTGAAGAAATGGGCGCTGAATATTTCGATCTCAGACTGTAGGAAAATATATATAATCAGGTGAAATTATGAAGGCTGTTGCAGATCCCATTACAAATAGTGAGGTCTTCTAAATTTCCTCCGCACATTTATTATTTTTATGTATTTTCTTTGTGTGTGAGTTGTGTTTGTAGCGGCGCGTGATGGACTGGTGGTGGGCGTAATTTGGTTGTGTTTGGGGGTAATGTTGGAGGACGGAGGCGTAATATTCGCATGCATAAATTGGGTGTCTGAACGTCCGAATTCTCCCCAACCTCAAACTTACGTGATACAGAGCTGACCCCTGTTGTGTGTGTGCGTGTGTGTGTGTGTGTGTGTGTATACAGATACTTGCATAAACTAGAGCAAACGAGGCTGTTGCATGATGATCCTTGATGTGTTGGTTGAGGTGAACTGATGTGTTTTAAACATTATATATTTTTAACCTTCTCAATCAGACATTGTTAATGAGTGTGTCATATCAAAGCCACAAGTGACGTCACGTGTACAAGTCAACACTTTAATGTAGGTCTGATGCATTGTTTTCTTTGTCCTGTATATGAAATTCGCCTAAGTTGTGAACACTGAACGTTTCTGTCCTGTGTCTAATGTTGAAGTCGCTGGTCGTGCTCGGGACACTCTGGTTCACCCACTGGTGATGAGGACTAACTCTACAGTTGGGGGTAATGAAGGTTGTCGAGTGCAGTGTCGGCCACACTATCTCACTGTCCACTGAAAGTTGCTGTATACACACAGTTTCTGGGACTCACTTTCATTGTTGTTTTAGATATTTTCAGTTGTCAAGGTTCTTTTAAACAGACATTGTTACACGGTCAAGAGGATAGTTTTATTTCACTCTATAGGTCACATTTTTAAGTACAGTATTTAGATGCTACAACTGCTAATGTCGTTAAACACTGCTGTATTCGCTAAGTAATATTTCTACGAGGCAAGTTTAGAAAATTAATAAAGTTCTGCCATGCTTTCTGCTTATAATTAGTTTAAGTTTAGAGTTGGTGCATGAGTCACCTTGGTTACTGATCAGTGATCACCAACACCATCTGTAACATTTACCTACATGTTATTAAAAAACAAATAAATGTTTTGTATAGTTGCTTGGAACGACGGAGGTTATTATACGCTCGAGTGATAAAATAAACAGTAGGCCATGCAACACGTCTTCCTAATTATTTCGTCACAAAGCTGTTTATTCAAGTACTATACGTTAATGTACTCTGGAAAATTATCTTGTTCCTCAGACAGAGCCAATAATAACAGCATTACACAAACCCATCAGTTTCTATTGGTAGAGTTTCCAGGTGTGTTCCACTCATGTCCTCGCCATGGCTGGTAGAGGCATCACCTGCTACACTATAATGGACGGAGTAGGAGGCGGTGGTGAGGGCGTGTGTGTGTCGGCCACTACAGCACGGACACCCATCACCTCACGGCCTCTCTGCAGGAGTCATAGTATTATCCTGAATTACCAACAATAATGAGTGTTTGTGTTGCTATACATGAAGGTGCGTCAACTGTCAGCCATTAAACGAGATACAAGTTAAGTTTTAGAGTTTTATACATGAAATTGTTTAAACATTATGACGGTAGAAGGCCAAGACATTTATGACCATATTGTCAACTTTTAAAATTATGCTTATTAAAGAAAGTTTAAACTGAACTGAATCCTTTGTGCGTGAATGTAGGTCACAAGGCTGAGTTTCTTACCCCCTCCACCCCCTCACCCCGGTGATACTGGGTGTTGTACTACGCCTCGGTATTGCTGGGTGCTGAAGATACACCTGGTGTTGCTGGGTGCTGAGACCTCTCTCTGGTGTTGCGAGGTGAAGAGACGTAACCCTGTTGTTGCTGGGTGCTGAGACCTCCTCTGGTGTTGCTGGGTGCTGAGATATACACCTGGTGTTGCTGGGTGCTGAGATATACCCCTGGCGTTGCTAAGTACTGAGACCTCCTTGGTGTTCCATGGTGCTGAGACCTCCCTGGTGTTCCATGGTGCTGAGACCTCCCTGGTATTCCATGGTGCTGGGACCTCCCTGGTGTTCCATGATGCCGAGACCTCCTGGTGTTTCATGGTGCCGAGACCTCCCTGGTATTCCATGGTGCTGAGACCTCCCTGGTGTTCCATGATGCTGAGACTTCCCTGGTGTTCCATGGTGCTGAGACCTCCCTGGTGTTGCTGGGTGCTGAGACCTCCCTGGTGTTCCATGGTGCTGAGACCTCCCTGGTGTTCCATGATGCTGAGACCTCCCTGGTGTTCCATGGTGCTGAGACCTCCCTCTGGTGTTGCTGGGTGCTGAGATATACACCTGGTGTTGCTGGGTGCTGAGATATACCTGGCGTTGCTAAGTACTGAGACCTCCCTTGGTGTTCCATGGTGCTGAGACCTCCCCTGGTGTTCCATGGTGCTGAGACCTCCCTGGTATTCCATGGTGCTGAGACCTCCCTGGTGTTCCATGATGCCGAGACCTCCCTGGTGTTCCATGATGCTGAGACTTCCCTGGTGTTCCATGGTGCTGAGACCTCCTGGTGTTGCTAGGTGCTGAGACCTCCCTGGTGTTCCATGGTGCTGAGACCTCCCTGGTGTTCCATGATGCTGAGACCTCCCTGGTGTTCCATGGTGCTGAGACCTCCCTGGTATTCCATGGTGCTGAGACCTCCCCTGGTGTTCCATGGTGCTGAGACCTCCCTGGTGTTCCATGATGCTGAGACCTCCCTGGTGTTCCATGGTGCTGAGACCTCCTGGTGTTCCATGGTGCTGAGACCTCCCTGGTGTTCCATGGTGCTGAGACCTCCCCTGGTGTTCCATGGTGCTGAGACCTCCCCTGGTGTTCCATGGTGCTGAGACCTCCCTGGTGTTCCATGGTGCTGAGCCTCCCTGGTGTTCCATGGTGCTGAGACCTCCCTTGGTATTCCATGGTGCTGAGACCTCCCTGGTGTTCCATGGTGCTGAGACCTCCCCTGGTGTTCCATGGTGCTGAGACCTCCTGGTGTTCCATGGTGCTGAGACCTCCCTGGGTGTTCCACGGTGCTGAGACCTCCCTGGTGTTCCACGGTGCTGAAACCTCTCCCGTGTTGCTGGGTGCTGAGACGTACCTCTGGTGTTGCTGGGTACTGAGACCTTCCCTGAGTGTTGCTGGGTGTTGAGACCTTTTCCTGATGTTGCTGGGTGCTGAGACCTTTCTCTGGGTGTTGCTGGGACTCTGAGACCATCCCGGTGCTCCTGGGTGCTGAGACCTTTCCCTGGGTGTTGCTGGGTGCTGAGGTCCCCTGGTGTTGCTGGGTGCTGAAATCTCTACCTACTGTTGTTGGGTGCTGAGAGGTCCACCTGGTATTGTTGGGTGCTAAGACCTTCCCTGTAGTTGCTGGGTACTGAGACGTCCCCTTGTGCTACTGAGTACGGATACGGACTCCTGGTGATGCTGGGTGCTGAGACGTACCCTGGTGTTGCTGGGTGTTGACCTGCTCTTGGTGTTTCTGGGTGCTGAGACGTACCTCTAGTGTTTCTGGGTGCTGAGACCTACTCTTGGTGTTGCTGGGTGCTGAGATCTCTACCTACTGTTGGGTACTGAGACCTCTACCTGGTGTTCCCAGGTGCTGAGAGGTCCCCTGGTGTTGCTGGGTGCTGAGACGTCCCCTAGTGCTGCTGGGTTCTGAGACCTGCCCATGATGTTGCTGGGTGCTGAGATTTCCCCTGTGGTGTTGCCTGGTGCTGAGACTCCCCTTGTGTTCTGGGTGCTGAGACCTGCCCCTGGTGTTGCTGGGTGCCGAGACCAGCCCTGATGTTGCTAGGTGCTGAGACCTCCCTCTTGTGTTGATGGTAGCTGAGAACATTCCCCTTGGTGTTGCTGGGTGCTGAGATGTATCCTTGGTGTTGCTGGGAGCTGAGACCTTCCCCTCGTGTTGCTTGGTGCTGATACGTACCGCAGGTGATCCTGGGTGCTGAGACGTATCCATGGTCTTCCCTGGTGCTGAGACCTCCTCCTGTTGTCGCTGGGTGCTGAGACCTCCTCCTGGTGTTACTGGATGCTCAGATCTCCCCCTGGTGTTGCTGGGTGCTGAGACCATTACCCCCGGTGTTTGGATGCTGAGACCTCCACCTACTGTTTTGGGTGCTGAGATCTCTACCTGGTGTAGCTGGGTGCTGAGAGGTCCTCCTGGTGTTGCCGGATGCTGAGACGTAACCTGGTGTGTTGCTGGGTGCTGAGACGTCCCCTTGTGCTGTTGGGTCCTGAGACGTATCCCTGGTGTTGCTGGATGTTGACCTGCTCTTGGTGTTGCTGGGTGCTGAGACGTACCTCTAGTGTTTCTGGGTGCTGAGCATCCTTCCGTTTTGCTGGGTGCTGAGACATCCCCAAGTGCTGCTGGGTGCTTAGACCTGCCCCTGGTGTTGCTGGGTGCTTAGACATGCCCCTGGTGTTGCTGGGTTTTAAGACGTACCCCTGGTGTTGTTGGGTGCTGAGGACCTCCCCTTGGCGTTGCTGGGTGCTGAGACCTGCTCTTGGTGTTGCTGGGTGCTGAGACCTGCTCTTGGTGTTGCTGGGTGCTGCAACGTACCCCTGGTTTGCTGGGTGCTGAGATGTACCCCTGGAGTTGCTTGGTGCTGAGATCTTCCCCTGGTGTTGCTGGGTGCTGAGACCTCCCACTGGTGTTGCTGGGTACTGTGACCTACCCTTTTTGTTGCTGGGTGCTGGGACCTTCTGAGGCCTTTCGTGGCACTTCTGTTGAATTCTTAATTAGTTTTGTCTCAACTTTGGAATTAATTAATTGTAATCCTTCACGTGTTGATGATATGAGTAACGTGAGCCTTGAAATGTTCCCGCCTTTTTGTCATAGTTCTTGAGATGTGAAACGTTTTTAATCTAAAATTTGAGATACTTTACTGTTTTCTTTAATTAATTCCTTTTAATGAAGTTGTTTTTATTCTTTGTAAGTCGATTTTCAATGTATTTTTATTTATTTATTGAGTCTATATTTTTTATTGTTGGTGGAATTATATTTATTTTAATTTTTTGACTTGTTGATTTTTCATTTATTGTCATGTTTATGTTTCTTTCATTTCTTAACATATATTTTATTTCCAATCTATTCAAGAAATGTTAATTCTTAAAAAATGTCAATGACTTAAAATCGTGACTTGAGGATTTTCTTAACTGTTTTACGTAATGATGTAAATATTGACAATCCATATTCTTCATCGTTTATCTAATATTCTTTACGTGTTCTTTGTACAGTTGTTATTATTCTTGTTTAACTGATGCATTTGTTAAAAATTTTTGCATTTGTGTTCGTTGTTTGTTTACCGTTTAATTACTAGTAGATGGCCGTCCAAATAATTACTAGTAGATGGCCGTCAAATAATTACTAGTAGATGGCCGTCCATATAATTACTGGTAGTTGCCCGACCATATAATTACTGGCAGATGCCCGTCTATATAATTACTAGTAGATGCTCGTCCATATAATTACTAGTAGATGCCCGTTAGGTTAGCGTTGGGTAATTAATCATAAGGTGAATTGGCTGAGGTACCTAAGTTTCACCTGAGCTCCTAATTATCCTGGTGGTCTAAACGATTCCTCTGCCTGAGAATATATAATTAATCGGTGACCTGACATTCACTCTCTCAGACAGGAATAGTTATACTAATTAATTATATATTTTTTTTTGGTCAAACTCGTGTAAAATTCACTACACAAAGTAATTTCATACCGTACTGAAAATATATATATATAATGTTAAAGTTTTTTTTCTATAACACTTTTGCTCGTTATAATATTTATATGTTTACTTTGAGCTGTGTTTATAAGGTTAATAAGTGGGTAATATTTTTGTTTGAGTCCTGTTTGCCTTTTACCTGAGAGATTTTATATTGTATTTATTCACTGTATTAATTTTATACTGTTTTTTTTTAATTTGTCTTATCAGTTATGTTCTACAGTATTCTTTCTCTACATAAATGATGACCCTCCCCCCAGCATTATACAATATTAATTCATCACCCCAGCTTCACATCACACACCTCCATCATCACCCCAGCTACATCACACCCCCCATCATCACCCCAGCTTCACATCACACCCCCATCATCACCCCAGCTTCACATCCACACCCCCATCATCACCCCAGCTTCACATCACACACCCACCATCATCACCCCAGCTTCACATCACACACACCCCCATCATCACCCCAGCTTCACATCCACCCCCATCATCACCCCAACTTCACATCACACACCCCATCATCACCCAGCTTCCATCACACACCCCCATCACATCACCCCAGCTTCACATCACACACCCCCCATCATCACCCCAGCTTCACATCACACACCCCATCATCACCCCAGCTTACATCACACCCCATCATCACCACAGCTTCACATCACACACCCCCATCATCACCCCAGCTTCACATCACACACCCCAACATCACCCCAGCTTCATCACACACCCATCGTCACCCACTCATCACTTTTACATCACCCAGCTTCACATCACACCATCGTCACCCCAGCTTCACATCACCACCCCCATCATCACCCCAGCTTCACATCACACACCCCATCATCACCCCAGCTTCATCACACACCCCATCATCACCCCAACTTCACATCACACACCCCATCATGCCTTCATCCACTGTCGTCCTTTACATCACCCCCTCATCTCACCCCAGCTTCACTCACACACCCCATCATCACCCCAGCTTCACATCACACACCCCATCATCACCCCAGCTTTACATCACACACCCCCATGCACCCCAGCTTCACATCCACCCCATCATCACCCCAGCTTCACATCACACACCCCCATCATCACCCCAGCTTCACATCACACACCCCCATCATCACCCCAACCACATCACACACCCCCATCATCACCCCAGCTTCACATCACACACCCCCATCATCACCTGACTTCATCACACACCCCATCATCACCCCAATACATCACACACCCCCATCATCACCCCAGCTTCACATCACACACCCCCCATCATCACCCCAGCTTCACACATCACCCCCCATCATCACCCAGCTTCCATCACACACCCCCATCATCACCCCAGCTTCACATCACACCCAACATCACCCCAGCTTCACATCACACACCCCATCATCACCCCCAGCTCATCACACACCCCCATCATCACCACAGCTTCATCACACCCCATCATCACTGGCTTCACATCACACCCCCCCATCATCCTGGCTCACATCACACCCCATCATCACCTTATCACACATCATTAGCTTCACATCACATCATCACCAACACATCACCCTAACATCACAAATTACCATCGGCTGGTTGTCTTTCTACCTCCCCCGCCAAAAAGAAAAATATCGTCCCAGGGTCGATGTGGTTCAGTATGCTGTGAGCAGTGTTAGTCGACTAGTTTCGGAACGGGTGGTACATTCTCTACTACGTCCAGACAACCGCCAGAATATCAGAATGACTAGTAATTTTATTTTATTTCTGCATATACTTTATACATACATAAATTGTGTATATGAATATCTGGAGTAGGTAAGCCGACAGAGGACGGTGAACTGGAGAATAAATTATGAAAGCGTGTCGTCCAGTGTTTTGTATTGTAAGGAAACTGTACGGTATACTGTACATTTGGTGCCTGGATGTCTGTCTTGTTTTCATGTAATGTTTCTTTTATTTGATTCTTTCATTTCTTCACGTTTATTTAGTCTGTTACCATATGCGACCCCTACACACACACACACACACGCACACTACACACACACACTACACGCACACACACACACACACACACGCACACACACGCACACCGCACACATACACACACACACACACACACACGCACACGCAAATGATCCTCTCTCTCTACACGCCACAATATGCAGTTTCTTCTCCGTGAACTCCTCGCTCTACCCAGATGGCAGAATAAATAGGGAGGAATCGGACAAGCTGGAGAATAAACTTGGTGGGTGTGTCAACCACGCTCACCTGAGGCGCTCAACCGGGAAATACACTGCCAGGTTCTTTATGTGTGTATTTATGTGACGTCTGGCGAGAACGAGATTGAGAGAAAGAGTTAGATAGGTAGAGAGAGAGAGTGGGAGTGGGAGGGGAGGAAGTGGGAGGGAGAGAACTAAACAGAGAGAGAGAAATATAGGGATGGGGAAATTTTGATGACGCTAGAAAGGTGCAGTAGATAGAAAGAGAACTCG